TAATTTTTGTTGTGAATCATGTGTTGCTCAATAATAACTTTTTTAATGTCTAAATTATATCAATGTTCAAAAAAGGATATATGATGTTTTTTCTGCTGGTGGGCTCAAACTCAGGGCGGAGCTGTGCGTCAGAAAGGGTTGGTCGACCTGTTTGTCATGAAGCTGGACTTGAAAAACTACTTCCTCGGCCAATTCCTAAAGCAGCTGACCCTGAAGCCCAGTGACTTGGTGTTCTTGTGCAACCTGGACACCCACGTCAAATTCCGGGCCGCCATGGCCAACAAAGCCATTTTCGGAACTTTGGGAGAAACAACCCGTTTGATGATCACAATGCTTGCGACGGTTGTCTTTGGCTGTCAAAGTGATGGGCCTTTGAAGTCATGCTTGAAGTCCACGTCAGATCCGTTGGAAGTGGTGAACAATTGCCAATTTTTGGCGGATGCTTTGTCGGAGATCTCCGCCAAGAACAAAGATGAAAGTGCAGGTCACCCAGACTCCGCTGGTGAAAAGAAACAGGGTGATTCGCAAAAAGTCGACGACGATGATGATGGCATCGAAACCTCTCTGAACGACTTGGTCACTCCTGAGCAGCTGGAAGCGGATGATTCCGGAAAGCTGGAAGTTTGGTTGGATTTTTTGAAGAACAAATTCGACAGCTTCGTGACCCTTGTCATTGACCAGGACACCGTCGGTGATCTGAAGTCTGTTGTGGAAAAATGCGAGATTTTGCAGAAAGTGGAAGGGCCTGCAATGCTGCTTTTTGACTCAAAAATCGCAGGTGAGGCATCGTCGAACCCAAACTGTCGACTGCCTCCTTTCCAAGGGAAAATGCTTCGGCGCTATGTGCAAACCTTCACCGCACTCCGTGGCAACGGTGGAGACACAGAGGTGCAGGAAGGTGACCTGCGTCGCACTGACATGATCGCCTATATGGATGGAAGCCGTCCGGGAAATGATAGTTCCGTCAACGGATGCCTGGTGGACACCAATGGAAGGTCCATGAACAAGGTGAAGCAAAATTTCACTTTGGTATATGATGAAGAGTCACTGGGCGATCGAAAAGAAAAAGTCAGGGGATTTGTGCAGCAAACTGAGAACCTCAATGTCTTTACCCTCGATGGTTTGCAGCTGCAGAAACAATCCCGCAAACACTACAGTGGGACCAATCTCGGATCCAACATCGGCCCCATTCGAGCTCTCGGCTACGACGACCCTGCTTGCTGGAGACTCTCGTTGGCTGACAAGAAACTGTTGTACTCCGAGAAGGGCAAGATCCTCACTGGGGGAGCATGTTTCTTGGTTCATGATGGTGTCCAGTTCCTTGCTCCAGCTTTTTTTCCTGCCAGCTTGCTGGTATATCAATGTATACATGAAATCACTGAATTTAAAAAATGCATGAAATAAATTGCAACATTATTAGCCAGCTTGCTGGTAAAAAAATGCTCGCAAATGACATCGCAAGAAATGATCCTTTGTTACAGCCAGCTTGCTGGTCTGAGGTGGTGAAGAGAACAAGGTAGCAAAACCTACTTTTGCGGATGGGATGGAGCCCGTGTCGTGGCACTGTTCCAGCCCGACATTGCTGGCGGAACTGTTGCACAGTTTCCGCCCGAAGGTCGTGTTCCGTTGCCCGGAATCCGATCACCTCCTCATCCTGGAGGCCATCAAGCAGAAGATTCCGGTGGTCAGCATTGTCTGGTCATCTCACCACGAGAAACTCCTGAAGCAAAAGTGTCTCAAGGCATTGTGGCAGTGCATGGTGGATCCAAATTGCCCAGATCTGTACGAAGTTCAGTTGATTCTTGGCGGTTTTAGCATTTATGTATGTCAGCATTTTTTTGTCAAATCAAGTATCTTACTTAAATGTTCCTTCTCATGAATTCTCGACTGAGGGCAGCACTTCTCAATGAGGGCGGCAAAATTGACGAACCACCTTTGAAGAAACCCCGCAAGGTCAAGAACAAGGCTGAGTCTGCCGAAGCTGCCGGTGCCGAGTCGAAGGCAGATGGCGAAGCTGCCGGAAGTGCAGATGGCGAAGGTGCTGCCGGTGCCGAGTCGAAGGACCCGAAGAAGAAAGGTGGCAGGCCTCCCAAAGAGGCGTCAAGCGCAGCGGTTGCTGCCAGAGATGCCCTACTGAAGAGCTTAGCGGGCTGAAAATGAAATGCATTTCATTCGACGAGAGGCAATCGGCAACAGCCGCCAAGCCTCAAATTTTGGTGATCAGAAATGGGCGCCGCGAGGAGAAAAAATACAGCCAGCTCGCTGGCCGGCTGACGTCACATGGAACTAAATTGCCAGCTTGCTGGCATTTCAAATTATGTGGCGCTGATTCCAACAAAATTATTTCAACCAGTCGCATTGAGTGGATCAAATCAATGCAGATCTGCTTGTTTTCACCATGGGGTTTTCCGCCGACATGGATGATGATGATGATAGTTTGGAGGCTGCTGCTCCTGCCAAAAAAAAAAGAATCAGCTCTGGAAGCAGACCCGCAGCGAAAGTAGCAGCAGCCCCTGCAAAAAACAAAAAACAGGATGCCGCTCCAAAGACTAAGAGCAAAACGAAAGCAACATCAGTTGTTCGACCATTACCTGCAGGTGCGGTGCCAGTGACCAAAAACGATGTGTTGCGTCTTTTGCAGAAGTGGATGGCAAAGGGTAGCGTCCCTGCCTGCCCTCAATCGCACAATCACTGTGGCCTAACAGTTGGCTCGGCTTGTTCGGGATGGTGCTCAGACCTCTTAGCATTGCAGCGGCTGGGGCGAAGGCACACACGTTGTTTTGCCTCTGACATTGATCCGCATGTGAAAACATTATGCTCTAGAACCTACCAGCACTGCCGCTGGATCGACGATGTCACATCGGACGAGTTCTTGCATCTTCCGGCCGTAGACCTTTTCACGGCCGGATTTCCGTGTCAACCTTTCAGTTTGGCAGGAATGGCTTTGGGAATGGATGAAGAACGAGGAATATTGGTGTTGTTTCTTATCCGCTACATTGGTCAAGCCAGACCTCGCTGTTTCATACTCGAAAACGTAGAAGGGCTTGTGAAAATGCACAAGCACACTTTGGCACTTTTGCTGGAAGTCCTCACCTCACTCCTGGATGAAACAGGGGCGCAACTGCACCTTTCCTGAAATTTTAGATATGAATCATAGTTTCAACATGTCCCACTGTAGTCATTTTTTTAAATGAACACAGCCGACACTGTCAGGTACGATGTGTCCTGGAAACTGATGGACACGTCCGAGTATTCAGGACTACCACACCATCGCTCCAGGGTTTTCATTGTCGGCATCCTCAAGTCGAAGCAGAAGGGGAAAATAATTTGGCCAGAGAAGGCTCGGACCCAATGCAGCATTAAAATGTGTAAATTATATATTCAAGTTTCCCTTATTTTTTGCTGTGCTGTTGTCGCCGTCAGTCAGGTGCCTACTATGAGACCTTTGGACGAATTGTTGGATCCAAAGCTGCCACGTCATCCCAAATCGCTGAAACCTACTGCTCTTCAGCACGTACGCGACGCTTTGCAGAGCGTGGTGGAAAAGGGCGATAACCCCTGTGATGTGCACTATGTGGTGGATATTGGAGGCGCGTGTACCAAATATTTTTGACACTAAAAAAACACTCTGATGATGTGTTACAGTCTGATGTTACAGTCTGATGATGGGCAGTCAGGCTCACAAAAACGAAAAGCCCACGCTTCTTGGTAGCAGCAACAAACCGGTAGTCCTCAATAGTTCAAAACTAATACACTCACTGCACCAGACCAAGGCTATGAAGGGCAAATCTCCATGCCTCACACGAACCAGGGCAAAAGAGAATGGCCATTGGCTTCTGAAGTACAACCGGTTCATGTCTCACACGGAGATCCTGGCTCTGATGGGGGCGTCGGACTCAGATTTTCCATCCAATGTGGTGGCTCCAAAGCAACTCCGTGCTATGGCTGGAAATGCCGTGCCAATTCCACTCTTTCAAAGAGTCATTGAAGCAGTCTTAAGCGCAGCTGGGCTGTAAAAAAATTGCATATCTGTCGGGTGAGTCCTCCATTTGGCCAACCAGCCGCATGTCGTGACTGTGAATAACTATATAAATTATAGCCAGCTTGCTGGTCCTGGTAGGTAAATATTCAATAAATAGCCAGCTTGCTGGCTCATGTCTCGGTTGTGTGCTGGTTTTAAAAATGGAGAATGCATGACCAGCTGGGTTCAAATTCAAAACACGACTGCTCTCAGTCAATGCAATGTCACAGCCCCCGCCAGAGCCGGCCAAGCCACCATCATGGTCAACAGCCACGTGGCAGACTCAGAGTTGGGAAGGTGAGTCAGAATGGAGCTCATCGTCCTGGCAAAGGGATGACACCAAAAGCCAGTCATGGAGCTCATCGTCCTGGCAAAGGAACGCTGCTTGGGATGAGGGAAAAAACCAGTCATGGAACTCAACTTCGTCATGGGATGATGGCGGAGACCGCAAGCGGTACAAAAGCCGAAGCCAGCAGTGCCGCCTGGCAAACCGGAGGCAGAAAGCAGTGGCAAATGCCAATGTACAAACCCTGTTTGCTGAAGCTCAAGCAGAGTACTGGCATGAAAAGTTTCAGGCCGAAAGAAAAAAATTGGAGGCCAATGAAGAGGAGATGAGCCAACCTCGCGCCCAACTCCACAATGTTGTGGGTATGCTGCAGGACAAGAAGAAGGAGGCTGCCGAGTTCAAAGCGCAGAACCTTGCTCTCCGGAAGAAGCAGCAGCAGCAAAGCGCTGAATTGGCGTTGGAAAATGCCTTTCTTCGGAAAAAGCAGGAAGACACAGAAGCCTTGAGATGTCAACAAATTAACATGTTTGAAAAGAGGCAAAATTGGCTGAGTGAGCAACTTCGAGAAACGCAAACGAACTTGGACATGTACAGGCGCTTGGAAGCCAAAAGGGCTGACAAGAAGGCAGGTTTTGAATAGAAGAAAAAAATCAGCGGCATCGCCAGTTTGCTGATCAATTCTAATACGGCCAGGCATCGTCGGCCAGCTTGCTGGCTAATCCTGCAGGCCAGCTTGCTGGACAATAATCATGTCTTGAGAAAAAACCTAATCGCAACTTCATTTTCTCCTTCAAGGCGCCTTGCAGTCAGGCAACCTCAACAAGCAGCATGACAAATTTCAAAATATACAGCGCATCTCAGACAGCATGACTTATTATATCACACTGCCAGTCACCCTATAGAATTCTAAGTTTTGGAGTATTCTCAAAATTCCACTTTGCATCTCAATTTTCGTTTTTCAGAGCTGCTGCCAATGATGCAAGACGGCCTTTCCTTGGTCCGCAGTCCCTGCTTGCTGATGAAGTATCAGCACCTGGACGCTCCAACGAGATCCAAAGAATGGTTGGTTCTATGGGCCAATGGAGCAATCAGTTTTTTCAGGAGATCTCAGCGCTCCAGGCGATACTACTTAGAATCAGCCGGCTGGTGGGAGTGGCAGCAGCTCAACAATGGTGGCCAGGCATTCTACCTACACCAGTTTGCATGTGCCCCGAGCCCTGGCATCAGACGCCATGAGCTGCAGTTCATTCGTCGTGGGCCTTTTTGGCCGCGAAATTGTGTTTCTTGCCAATTATTAATGCCCCGTTTGAAATGACGGCCAGCTTGCTGGTCTTGACATGGCCAGTTTGCTGGTCTTGAAAATGTTGCGGCCAGCTTGCTGGTCTTAAAAATGTTTTGGCCAGCTTGCTGTGGCCCGCTTGTTGCTCAGGTGTGGGACTCCGCCGGCAGATCCGTGTTGCTCACGGCAGTCCTGTATGCATCTGCGGACGACATCTATGGGTGGTGCTTGGCCTTTTCCAGACAGACTTGAAGGTCTGGAAACACAACCCTCTTTAGCAACGACCAGTGGTAAGACCACTGCTGGTCAGGAATGGACTGACTACCAGTGCCTGGAATCAAATGGTGTGAAAATGATTCCCTTTGAAATGATAACCTGAATTGGCCAGTTTGCTGGTCCTGAAATGGCCAGCTTGCTGGTCTTGAAATGGCCAGCCTGCTGGTCCTGAAATGGCCAGCTTGCTGGTCCTTCAAACTTGTTCACACAAAGTCAACTTCCAATGGCGAAGCACCGCTACTGATAAAGTTATTTTTTGCATGGCCAGCTTGCTGGCTGATCATAAATGTGCGCTGCCAGCTGGCTTGACTGAAACTTACACTTGACTGCCGCAAAATTTCCCAGGCCAAACGTCGTCCATTGTCAAGAGCCTCATTTGTAGCCATGGGAGCGATGCGACCACCGCCCCCTTCTGTGACTGCGAAAACTATCCAAGCCAGGAAAATGGGACAATGGACGCGAGCCAAGGAGAAACTACAGGAGAAGCCAGCGCCATGCCCGATGATGGTTCAAAGACGCCTCTTGCACAGGATGCCGCTGGAGCTTCTCAAGGCGAAGTACAACTATTTGAGGAACAACTCCGCGCCTTGGATGTTATTGTTGTTCACTGAGGTTTGATTTTGTTTGACCGACGTTTTTTCAAACTATTTTCGCTTCTTTTCAGCCTCAACTAAGAAATGGCTCTCAAGCATAGACTTGGAAGAGGCCATGCGGAAGGTCATTCGCCGACGGTCGGGGCTCCCTTCGAGCTCCGATTGAAATTGACGCAAATTCTAAGGGTGAACCAATGCCAAAGAAGCAGTGTACTGACACTGTGGGCATCACCCGTCGCCATGCATGTAAAAAAGAGCCTTTGGCAAGTGAGCTGGCCAGTCAATGTCTTGTAATAAATGCATAATATAGACAACAAACTGGCCAAAGACCCTTACGGTGTTTGGCCAGTTTGTTGTTTCATATTTTGTTTCATACGTCTTGCTCTTGCCGGCTAGCTAACTGGCATGTTATTGTTGCCAGCAGGCTGGCATGTGGCCTAGCTGGCCGCTTTGTGGCACCTTCCTCATTCTGAACAGGTGCGTCAGTGCCACCTTAGCACACTGATCTTGGCTCTGCCCAATTCGAATTGCCATGAATTTTGATCCTGGCCAAAATATCGTATTGGAAATTCAAAAATATTAGCATGGATGTTTCTAAGAATGGTTGTTTCTTTAGCATGGATGCTTCACTGGCATCTGATTTGGTCAATTTTCAGTGCATGTGATGCTTCTTCAGCATGGGAAAATGCATGTTATGCT